TTGAGATACATATATACACATAGTAAAGCATAAAGTAGGTTAAAACCAGCTGAAAATTACTTTTTTCCAAGCAGAGTGAATGATGAACAGTCAATACAAAGTAGTGTAAATTTCAAAAAAGGGAAAAATATATCAGACTTAAAAGTTTACAAAGAATACATCGTATTTTTACACTGAAAACAGCAATGAAATTCATATTAGAATCAGTATCATACAAGGATGGTAGAATCAGAATCTACACAAGGATAATCTCCTGTACTCAGCACTGGGGAGGCTGCATCTCCTGTTCAGTTTTGGGCCCCTCACAAAGACATTAAAGTGCTGGAGTGTGCCCAGAGAAGGATAAGGATGCTGGTGGAGGATCTGGAGCACAAAAAGGATGCTCAGGGAAGACTCTACCACTCTACAACTACCTGAAAGGGCATAGCCAGGTGGGTGTTGAGCTCTTCTCCCAAGTAGCAAGCGATAGAATGAGAGGAAATGGCTTCAAGTTACACCAGAGGAGGTTTAGATTGGACATTAGTGAAATTTCTTCATGGAAAGCATTGTCAAGCACTGGAACAGACTGCCCAGGGAAGTGTTTGGGTCACCATGCCAGAAAGTATTTAAAAGATGTGTAGATGTGGCACTTGGAAACTTGGTTTAGTGGTAGGCTTGGCAGTGCTGGGTTGTAGGGATGCATATTGAGAAAGCAAGAAAATTACAGCCTGAAAAATATTCCAGGTCGGAGCTTCTCAGCTCTGTTCCCAGCCGATAAGCGGTCCAGCTCAAAGCTAGGGAGAATTTCTCCCAGGGTGATATCTTGGTCAAAATAAAAGGGAATTAATAACAAAAATAGAACACCTGTTGTGGTGTGTGACCAGGCCCTGGGAATGGGGTGTCTTCTCTCTGAACCAATCATCTTTTTTCTACTCTTGGAATTGCTAGTCATGCTATAAAACCAAGTGTGTTTCTGATCTTTCCTATCATGAAAGACGACCATGTAGCTGTGCATCTTATTTCCGCCGCACTTAAAGGGTTAAAATTCCTTTCCACGGCTACACTGGGTTAACAGTTGGACCCAATGATCGTAAAAGTATTTTCCAACCTAGACTATTTGTTGATTCCTACACTGGTGAGAACTAACTTACTTCAAACAAATGCTATTAAGTAGAAGCTGCTGGGTTTGGTCTTTTATGGAAACTAAGAGACAGTGAAGGCAGATGAAGCTGCTTAAGTAGTTCTCTTGGATCTTACTAGACAAACCATCTCATTGATGTCATATTGGCTCTCCTAGACAGATAACCAGTGCTGATTTTTCATATGTCTTCCTCAAAGAATATAAAGATCAGTAAGAAAGCTTAAAGACCATTCATTAAGCATGCAGCACTAGTGCGAGGAAATTCGTGGTAGAGATCTAGCCCGATGACTGAAATCTGTCCTTGTCTTTTGAACGCAAGAGTGGTACTATGTTAATGGTACAATAACATTGCCCAGCCACTCTATCATTTTCTTGATTGGATGAGAAAATCTCATCTCTTGAGAGATGTTGAGAAGACCTGACACAGCTCAACAAAGCTAAAATGAAAATACAACATGGACAAGGCTGTTGCTATGTCAGTTAGTACATGTTCAGAAGAGCCAATACTATTATCAAAAATTCCTTCCAGGAAGCAATAAAGGCAGCACTGGGTTTTCATGAAGACTTGGTAACTTAGTCTTTGGCCCTAAAATTTGGAAACTGACAAAACAATCTTATTTCTTGTCTTAAATGAAATAATTCTCCCAGGCTTCCCAGTTCCCATTTATACCACATCTTTCTCACAGTCCTGCATATGGTTAAGGATATGACCATGGTTTATCAAATATGGAGTAGATTCTCTCCTATGGCAGTAGCACGAGTCGTGGATTTCACTCAGGTCCATTTTAACCTCCTGTTTCCATGGCTGTGGAATGGTATTTTTGCATAATGTATAAGAAAATGTCTTGAAAAATTAAAGTAGACACAACCTTGCAAATGCAGTTGGCCCCTAGAAAACACTGAGGATTTGGGTGGCATAGGTGACTCTTTGTGAACTGATATAGAAAAACACAACTTTGCTGTGGAGACTGTCCAGCCATGATAAATGTGGCTGATAAGAAATTAACACAAGCAGGGATGGTTGATAAGTATAAGGACTTTTTCTTTGGCTTATTAGTTTTTTATCAGATCCAAGTTCTGCACTGAGACATGATCCAGCCACACCAGATGAGGTGTGAGAAAGCCATGAAAAAAACATCCTAGAGAAAGGTGGAGGCAGCAGGGCTCCTTCTTTTAGCATAAGTCTACAGCTAGATTGGAGTAAGTGTAACACAAAATTACTTAAGGACTGGCTTGCAGAAAAGGAGGTTCTTGAGATTAGTTTATTGGCTCTCTCATTTATTGCTTTCTTTAGGCAGCTGTACTGGGATATAGGAGACTGCTTGGCATGAAAGTTCAGAGATGGAATAATAAGATTCAATAGCATGATTATGCATTTTATGTGTGAGGCACCTTTGATTGTGGAAAAAGTTAAGGCATGTCCGCCATAAAGCTTGGGAGGTTTCTCATAACACTAGCATAAGTAGGTAGATGAAGAGATGTGACATTCCTAATTGTTTATCTTCCTTGTGATAGAGACAAAGTTCTATTTTAAAGACTTACCAAAAACAGGTCTTTCATCTGGAGTGTAAAATTCATGTGTTCCCTGGCCTCGTGTGTCACATGGTAATGAAACAACATAAATCAGAAATGTTAAAAGCTGAAGTTTGTTAATATTACTGCTGAAGCTCCAGTCTCTTTCCTAGTTAAACTGACAGGTCCATAGTCCAAATATATATATTTACCGATTACAACAACATAAAGACAAAAAAATGAATGGACATCAATGAGAAACAAATGTAAATGCAAGTTTCAGATGACTATTTGGAAATTACAAAAAAAAACCAAACCAACAAAAAAGATCACATGCTACCACAAAAATTACTTGCATTTTAAATGGGGCAATAGACATTCTTTGTATTGCACTCCCATCTACTCTTACTCCTAAGTAAATACTTCAGTGATTTACATTCTGTGAGGAAAACGTAATAAAAAGCATATATTTTGCATTCTCTTATGCATGTTTCCTTGTCACTTTTTTTAGTTGTCTTGGCTGAATCAGAAACCAAGATTCAGAAATCTATCTTCCCTGGCTGAGGAAGACATCATAAACTCATATTTTGAGGTCAATAAACAAAAGAAAATGGACTCCTACTGGCTTCTGCATTTTTCCCCACTGTTGGCAGTCACTTCAGAACAACTAGCTGAATTAGATGTAGTCAGAGGTAGCAAGAGCTCACTAAGCAACACAAAGACTTTGGGGAGACTGAGTTAAGGCCAGTGTAATCTCAGGACACAATAGGTCAGGTGTTTTCTGCAGGTGCCCACTGGCATGGGAATTATTAAAATTAAAAAATAGTTTCCCTCTTTCCCTCTCTCCTCCCATAAAAACCACAGGAGTCTCAAAGAGAATTTGAAAACAGAGACATTTCCATATAGCTCATTTTACAAAGAGAAATCCAACTCATTAACTCAAGACTATGCCAGAGCATACTATGCACTTGAGATAATCACACGAAGTCTCATATTGCAGTTTTTTCCTATAATAAAACTATTTTGAAGGTAACTGGAAACTAGTTCACATTCATTTATGTACACTACTGCTGTCCAAAACTCACCCTGCAAAGAAACCCTACTCTTTCTCCATCAGATGGTAGAAAGGAAGCTAGTCTTGAAGGTAGAAGGTGAAATCCTGACTCCATTGTACTCATTTGCTAAATATGAATTTGCTTCAACAGAGCCAGAATCTCCCCCCAAAAGATTTAACTCTAGTAAGCAGTGGAATGTCTAAGCTACAGAGTAGGAAAACAGGTTACGGAGACTTTGGATCCCTGCTTTGCACCCTCAAGCCAAAGACCATAGTAACACATGATATGAGACTATTGTCTTGGCTGTGTCTGCAACCATCAGATTTTTAACCCAAAAGATTCACATTATTACCAGTTTCTGCAGGTAATCCTTCTAACAGAGGAATCAAATATTACACAGATGAGATGCTTCTTTCATTTTAAAGTCTCTTGAGGACAATTATCACTACCATGTCTGGTGATTCTAGAGCTACATCAATTGTATTTTCCTTTAACCTATTACTGGCACAATGTTCTGTACTATTAACGCTATTCTGACCATCCTGCCTCGTGCTCTTGTATAGGTACCTCTTCAAGTGAGAGGAACTGAGTTAGGGTGAACTGAGGGGGAAAAAAAAGAAGAAAATTAAATTCTTCATCAGAATGAACACATGCAGCCAGAAATAAGGAAAAGCACATAAACAACAACTGAATCTGTGCAGAGCAATGAAATTCAGTCAGCACTGTTTCTAGCATCAAATTCATAATTCCTGCAATACTTCTAAAGAGTGTTTTTAAACCAGCTCTCCATGTGTGCCAATTGGAAATTCAGTAAGTAGTACAATTCTCCTCAGTTTTGTTTTCTAAACTGCTTGAATTTTAAAATAAAAAAGCATCTACTTTTTTCTTCATCAACAGCTAAAATGCTGTATGTAAAATCAGTGTCACCACCTGGTATCTCTTAAAGCTACCTGTAAGTAATTCTAACAGTCAAACCTCAGTATCTGTTGACACAGTGAAAGACTGTTAAAATTACTTGGCATAGCTGCATATAGAAAAAAAATTATATTACTAATTTTTTTTCCTGTCATATTTCCTCTTTTACCTGAATGTTGTCTTCCTATCTTATTTATCTTAATTTTTTTATATTTTCTATAAGATTAATTTTACTACAGCATTATTTACATTACTTCTCTTGTATTCCTTAAAAGATTGAATGACTTCACCGTTCTGTGATTCTATGAAATGACCATATACAGTTATGTATGAAATATATACAAGATTACACATGACCTTAGAGATAGAAATCTCAAAACTATATTTGGCATACTCACTTGAATAAAGGAGTTCCACAAACAACACATTTGTATATTCCTTGAGCTTTATGGTGTGTGTACTCCCCCTCAAAGGCACTGGGAAAACAACAACACCACATTTTAAAATTAAATAAAGGAATTTGGGGTTTTTAAAATTATTAAAGTAGCTGAGTCTTTAGAAAAATGTTATAGAAGAACCCCACAATTTCTAAGTTGGTATCTGTTTTTTATTAAAGGTAGCAAGTAAAGCAGGCACAGGAAAAGGGGAATGGCCTCGGATGTTACACATCATGCAAAAGGAAGCAAACTGTCGGACAGTTTAAAGGCTGGAACAACAACAACAACAAAAAAGGGTAAAACAGGAGTCTTCCCCTATCTGGCAAGTGAAATGTTAAGTTTTTGTTAACAGAGACTGTTTGGCATCTAGCTCAACCTGCCGCACCTTGCTGTGTCCACGTCTGGGCCGTGGGCAGGGCTGGCGGCTGCAGTGGAGCGAGGTGTGAGGCCACCTGGTCACTACAGAGCCGTGGCACTGGGTCAGGCCAACACCAGCTGTCCAGGCGGCAGAGACATTGTAGCTGAAAATGAAATAATTGGTCCAGGATTTCAAGCTGTGCAAGCCTTATATTTTCAGCTGAAAAGCAATATTCCAGCTTTAAGGGAATATTTTTCTAAGTTAACAATCTAAAAGGCTAGGAGGTCATTCACCTAATACAAATCAGCTGTGCTAGCCCAACAAAAAGCCTATGTGCTCAGCAGCTTGTTTTTATTATCCTTTCACCCTTTTTATGAGGTCCAATTTTTTTTATAAACAGGATTTTAAAGAATGACCTAATCTCCCATTGTTTGTGTGCATTAAATCATGTTGTTGGTCCTGTACACAAGAGCATGGAGGGCTGGGGGGAAGGTAAGACAGGCCTCCCAGCAAAGGCCACCGTCCCGTGCCCCACCAGGGCTGTGGCAGGATGGAGAGGGCTGGGGTGGAGAGGGGGACTGTTCCCACCAGCTTCTCTGGCTCATTTAGCCACCAAACCCAGTGCTGTCAGGAAGAAGTTTGCCTATTAACCAGGACCCCACGTGCAGCAGGGAGCCCTTTCAGCTCATGAATGAAAACAACCAGTTACATCATTAGTACGTTTAGAGCAGAGGTAAAGTCAGGGCCTTATGCCAAGCTCAGTGGAATAAATTAGACAACAAAAATGGCTGGGCCTTGGTGAGTTACCTTTGGCTGGAATCAGCTGAGAGACTTCATTCACTAAAAACAATCTTGGAAGCCAGGTTTTTTTTTTTTCCTCCAGGACTTAAGGCTGGGTTCCAGTGACTAAAGCCATGTGAGGGCAGTTATTGAAAATTTTTGACATTCCAACCACAAATGAACCAATAAATACCTTTTCCACATGTGCTTCAAAAAGAAATTGGAGTGGGGTGGAAAAGAACTAAATTATGCTACCTTCTTTCTGCAGCCAAAATGTCTGTACTTACAATGACCACCTTCAAAACTCCAGCCTCCTGGCACAGGGCCATTTCCCTCGTGGTTCTGCTTACTGCAACGTCTTCCAAAAAAAGTATACCTAAACCACTATTACTTCCACACTTTTTGTAGTAAACTAAAAACAGACTCTAAATATGAGCCTGGTGACTTTATAAGATGTGCAGTGTTCATTAAAAGAAAAAGTCACACAAGATCCTTGGCCCTGGCCCCCTGTTGCAGATACTTGTCTTTGCAGTAGTGTTAATTTGTAGGTGTTAGTAAACAAGTGTAGAAATCCTGGAAGAAAAAACATAACCAAAAAAACTTGGTAGGGAAGGTGAGGAAACAGCAGTAAGAGGAGGGGTGGAAAAGTTTCCTTCATCCTGCCTTACCTTTCGGTCCCCTTCTCCTGAGTGACATGGTACTGCAGGGGTGTCAGCCGCTTCCTCAGCTCCTCCTGGGAAAAGACCACCTTACAGTCCTTTTTATCCCTACATGACCCTGAAAAAGGAGAGGATATGGGAGAAGGAGCCTTTTTAGCTTAAATCCTGAATAATTGCTTTGGCAGACAGCCATAGTATAGCTTCTGCATTCACTTGTCAATGACCCAACTGGTCCCTAATGCACAAAGGCTCAGCTGAACTGCAGCTGATTATTTCTTCAAATGTAAGTATAGAAAATAATTTTTATAGGGAGCCAGGTGATTCCACTGGAGCAGTGACAATGTGCTACAGCCAAAGCCCTTTGGTGTGTTATACACTAAGTTGTTGCACACACAATCATTCACAAGAAAGTACTATTTTTTGAACATTAAAAAAAACCCTGCAAAAATCCCAACTGCAGCTGAAACATTCTTTACAAGACATCTATATTGGAGACTTACGGTAATGGGCATATGATGTTTAGCCACAACATCTGGCAATTTCTGTACCCTTAAAAGTAGCTGAAAAACAGTTCTAACCTTCAGTATTACAGTAAAGTTGATTTAACTTCTAGTTGCATCCTCATCCTTTATAACAATAGCCTTTTTTTTTCACTGTTGAAGCACTAGAATAGGAGTCCTAAGGAGTAAATAATTTCTTTATACACAAAACTGTACAAGGTTCAACAATAAACTTGTAAAATTTGTTGCAAAGGAGGGTTGCTGATGAAATTACCCTCCTCTGAAAATCTACTCCTAACACTTTGCTTAGTTCACACAGAAGATCCAAGGAGTATATAAGGATTACTGTAAAAAAATCGGCATTTGTATAGTGCAAAAAATTCACATTGGGAAAGCAAAAAACAAGAATAAGGTTACTTTTGGGAATGAAAATTCCCAAAGTAGTAATATAAATTGCAAAATATTCAGGTAACTTTGATAATCATTGGCAAAAATTAGCTTACAAAATGGAGTAGGGAAAAAGCACTCTAATTATAACAGTAATTAAAATATGGTACATTAAGAAATAAACACTCCCGACAAAAGTATTTTTTGCTAGTAATGTATATATACACTTATAAAAAGACCAATTGTGTTCTCAAAGTAGAGGCAACAGAGCTACCCATCTGTATGTCATTTAGTACAGGAGAGGCAATGGCAGGTTTAAATTACATGGTATTGGATTGCAATTTCCTAACATTGGATGCTTTTCTGCTTTTTTTCTTGAGTCATTACTAAGGAGCATTCATAAAAAGTAGCTTAGAGCACAGATGCTTGCAAATCATTTAAGAAAAGATGTTTCTTTCTTCGTCTCCCTCTTCTCAATTTTTTAACATGTGGGGGTGGGTGAATAGGGGAGAGAGAAAAAAAATAATGCTGTTGGTCACTACCGACTAACCCTAGGAAGTATTTTCAGGAAGAAAAAAGTAAAATTGAAAACATCTGATTGAAGTAAATAGTGCAAACGTAAAAACCTTCACTAGTGAAAGAAAAGTATTGAAAAAGCGACTTTATTTCATAGATTAGAAATTACTTTTGATCTAAACATTCTTAAAAACAGATTGTTTTCCACTCTGACCCATCTCATTAGCTGTGCTGCAGAGCCTTCGTTTTAATGGCAAGCTTTGAAAGAGCGCTGCTGTATGCCTTTGTTAGCTTCAATCTTATTTAGGAGAGGGATAAAGATTTCATTCCAGGTCTCTTTGTTTGTCTTTCAAGAACCACTAAAGCAGTATTCACACAAATTTTGCAGGAATGTGCCCTGTGCCATAGCTTACAAATTATTTGGTTTTGGTGCACTTAAAGGTCACCTTCCAAATTAACAAAATTTTCCTACATCCTGGCTTTTCAACCTTAAATGTAAATATTGTTTCCTAACTGTAAGTGAGGTTTGTTCTTTATAACATTTGGTTGCTTATTTAAGGATGTCAAACTTTGGAGGTTTTTATTCTCCAAACGTGCAGATCTCTAGGACTAATAAGTCTTTCAAAGTATAGCTAACAGGGAAAGGAAGCATATGCATTATATAAATAGCTATTGTTGTCTTGCATTACACAGCTCAGAAAGAAACTGTTTGAGAGACAGTCTTTTCTCTGTAATTTCAGTTTTAAAAAGTAGTCTAGAGAGCAACAAAGAATCTTACAAACCAACATCTCTTCACTTTTAAAAATATCTACCTATAATTAAAAAAGAAATTTGCTACTTAACTGCTGCTGCTGCAAAAAAGGAAAACTAAGCATAACTTCATTTTGAAAAAAGTGAAAATACCAAGTGTTTCTAAAAATGATCAGTATGCCCCCTTTACTTAAATAATTTTTCATCTCTTTTACAAATTTAATGTTCTCCAATCTATGGTTTCACTATATGCATAAGAAAATTTCTAGTTGCCACATGATCCACAACAATGATCAGATGTAGGAAGCATGTTAAAAAAAGATCTTTTGCAGGCCTTGTTTTAATAATTAACCATATGTTTTATAATACAAACTATTACCTGTGGTTACTGCGCTGCAAAGAGAGAGAAAGGATAGTAACACACATGGACCTCTTTTGGGGAAAAAAGACCAACTTTATTGTACGGACATCCCGTATTTAAAGTGTGTTACATGCAGCTAGGACAGGACAGTAGTTCACTGGACAATTGGGAAAAACATCCTTGGCACAGTACCTCAGGATGTATCCCATGGGAAAGACACCAGGTGTTAATCTTTATTATGAATTCCACTCTGTTTTTCACCATATTATCACCTTGGGAGACTTCCTCCCTAACTGAAGCTGTAGTCAGCTTGTCAGCCTGGGAATGGACCTGAGAGTCAGGAGAAATCCAGGCCTGAAAAGAATTTCCAAGCTGTAATTCCCTAGCTCTCTAAATGTGTGTGTCCACAATTATCCTATATGTCTGCAGGGGAATTTTGCAAAACTGCACTGGGGTAAAACGCAACTGACCTCAAAAAAGGATTCTTCAAGTTTGTAATTTGAGTATTGATCAACAAAAAGTTGCACTACAAATTATAAAGGAAATCTCTTGGTCCAGCCCTCAGCATTCCAGAATGGCCCTATTCAATTAATTGTACTCATTATTTAACTGCTGGCTACATAGCTCAGTAAATGGATCACTATTTCCCTACTGCCATAGAGGCAAGGAGGTAAAGCAAGACTCATCCCTGACTACAGAGGATACATGTCATCTGAAATGAGGATAGCCTACAAGCTTCTATAAAAATGCACTGAATACTAGAAATTACTGGATGAGATTCTAGGAATACATTCCTTCAGTTAGGAAAAAAAAATCAGCTGCAAGAGGGACAGAAGTGCACAATTTTCAGTAAAAGAGTGTCTGCTTCTGGTTTTGCAGCTGTTCCCTTATGACATGAGATGAGTATCACATTCAAGCCAACTGTTTGTGTCTTGGGAGGGGACAACATAAAGCTACACAAAGATATGCCCAATATGAGAAAAACTGCCGCTAGTAACGAAGCTGTTATCAAGCTCATTATTAAACCAGAGAACAAATGGGCAGGCTGACCATCTTCCTCAGTCTGGTTCTCCATAGATAGGATGAGGTTTGGGCTGTGGAAAGGGTATATACAGGCAAAAAAATGCTTCAGCAGCTCAGCCATAAAGGCACGCTCACAGTTCACTGGCAAATCATACAGTTTGAGGCAAACGAGAGAAAAGGTCATCAGTTCTACAAACAGCATTGTATCAGTGTGGTTACTGATTAAAGGTGAGGCTAAATTAAATGCAGTATAAGAATAAGAGAGACTGGATTCATAGGATTTATATTAGCACTTTTGTTCTTTGGAGGTGGTGTTCTCAGCAATGACTTTTAGAAAAGCCCAGGACAGCTATGTTCTGAACTCCAGTCTTCACCCCTTTGGCAACAGCTACAACAGTGCTAAAGCCACTTACTATCCTGGAGCAGGATGGAAAGTTTTGTGAGGAAAAGACCAGCCTCACAAATTAATTTAAAAAAAAAAAAAAGAGCTGAGGAGGGTGCAACAAATATCAACAGAAACCCTTCTTGGAGCCTTCACAGTATTCTCATGTTTAGAAACAGTTTTTTTCTGAAAACCAAATGCATGCTGCCATTTTACTATTCACCTGCAGACTATGGGCATTTCAGAGTTCAGCTCTGAAGTCTGCTGTACAAATTAAGTGAACAGAAAGTATTTTCTGGTTAATGACCTGATAATGAAGACATTAAGGATCTCACCTCACACATAAGTTCCAACTGACCTTTTCAAACCTGTGGTTCATAACATTCCTTCCCTATAAGCAATCACAAGAAAACTAGCAACAACCAGAGATATGTTCAGACAGACAGACACAAGTTAGCAGACCATTACTCCTCACCACTCAGCCCCTCATCTGTTCCAGCGTATCAGAGGGTGGTGATTAGTGTCTGATATGCCCTGAAACACAGTGGCATGTTGCCTGATAGCTTTTCTATATCAAACAGTCATTTGAACAATTCTAACATTTTTTCTCTTAGGTTTTGTTGCTTCCTATCACTGAAATTAACTCCATATTTCAACTGCATGGAAGACACAACACACATTTTCCCTCTTCTACCTATGCTTATATTCCACAAGCATTAATGGACATTACAGTTATGCACTGAGCACATACCACTTAGACTTCCTGAACTAAATACAGCAAGACCAAATGTTCCAGCAGAGCACAGCCATATAATAAATCAGGCTCCTAGTCTTCAGTACTATTTCTTTTAATATAACTAAGCAGTTTTTTGGGGGCCTCCCAGTACATATTATTTTTCATCTCCCACCCCAGCCCCAATGCTGCAGTGTGACCTGGGTAGGCAGGCTGTTGAGAATATGCATAGCTACTTAAGGGTCTACAAATGTACATCAGATTACAGGATCTTGCTCTAAAGTATACATCTCTCTGCTTCGCAAAGTCTGTCCCTTTATGAGTGGGTCAGACCTTGGTAGATTGATGGTAAATTACCTCAAACTGATATTAAGAGGAATTCCACAAAGTTAAAAAAATATTTGCATACATTTCTTTTAATAAATATCCTTACATATGCTATTGCTAACAGTATTATTAGAAGTGG